GGGGGCTGGGACAGTCTTACCCCCAGAACTCTGTCTCTCAGGCTGCTGGCTCTCCTTTCCTCGGCTCTCCTTCCAGGAGTCCTTTCTCTGGTGCTGCATGTTGCTTCTACTGCTCCTTCAGTTCAGGTCCTTATCTCTGGCTCTCTGCCACCGTTTCTCAGTCCAGTGCTGGCTACTGCTCTGCACCCATGGAGAAAAACATCTCCCGGCATACTACAAACACTTAGTCCAGCCTAGCACTGTTCCAGGTCTTTGCAGTCCCCCCCCAGCCAGGGGCTGGGAGGCCCCAGAGGGCCCAAGGGGCTCAGAGACCCTTCCTCGTGGCTCTACAACATGGCCACCACCTCTCCTCAACAATCAAAACTACAACTCATCTCTTCCGGTGAGCTTGTGGAATGTTGACATTTTTGCAGGAGTGCCCATTGGACAGAACTCCAAAACTTCCAGGGGTTTCCACCCCTTGGGGTCTACCACTTTTCTTAGCCTCTGGGGGAAAACAAGATTCAAACCACGACAACACTCCACCCCTCGCTCCTGCGAACATGTCAACATATCACAACAACTTAAAAAACTCTAATCAACATGCAATCTTCAATAAACTAAAATATAACCAAAATCTCTCTACTACATATCAATATAGCATCATCACAAACTTAACTCTACTCTCAATACTTAACTTACATTACTATAGCCTTACTTTCTCTACAATGGTACAGTCTGTGTTTTGTATGGAAAACTCTTTCTGTTACCACAAGCCTCATGGCTCTTATCTCTTTCCCCCGATGGTTCGCAACCATCCTCTGCTACCATTTATGTCATGGTATGTCACGACACTTCTTCTGTCCTGTGGCACCAACAACTGAGATTATTTGTTTACTTAATTTTCCTTTACAGGTATTTAAAATAGAGTATAGCTCTGATAAGTACAAAACATTCTATTTCCTCCTTCCCCTACTTTATTGTAACCAGGTGATCTGTTGGGGAATCTTTTGAGTCCTTCCCCAGTCCCCTTCAGTCCTCACTCACATTCATCATTTCCATAGCTGCCATTGGTATTTCACAGCTTTCCTGACTCCTGTTTCTATTCCTTGGGCACTCTTTTTTTTCCAGTGCCTTATTTGTTTACACATTGCACATTGGTTCTTATCTAGACACGTTCGAGGATTTTGCCCTGGTCTTTATCCTGGTCCCCTAGTCCAATTTCCCCCTTTTCCCATTCCTCGAGTTATTGCCAATGCCAAAAATTTACCATCTTTACTTTTCCTTTTCTTTTTCCCTTTCTACTTCCTCACTATTGCTGTACACAGTCCAAGTAACTGCTAACAGTTTGCTTAGGGTTTTGGACTCTTCTTTCTCCGGTTTTTGAAATGTCCATTTAATATCAGGATTTGATTGTCCAATCAATATATGTGCTAATTATGCAGCATCCTCCTTTGTCTTGGGGTCTAAATCAGTATATTTTTGTGCAGTTTCCCTGATTCTATTAAAAAATTCTGTTGGGTTTTCCTCTTTTCCCTGTGCAACCTGATATGTTTTAGATCAGTTTTTAGTTTTTGGAATAGCATGTTTCATTCCAAGTAAAATCAAACACTGGTATCTGATTAACAATTCTCACTGGACTTGATTATGTGGATCCCACTTCAGATCCACAAAGGGGAAATTAACTTTTACTGACCCCTGGTGCACACCCTTAGCATGAATCCTTTCTGCTTCTTCTCTAGCTTTACCCATCACCATACTTTTTTCATCTTAAGTTATTAAAGTGTCCTGTATCACTTGGAAATCATTCCAGTCAGGATCTTGTGTCCTAATGATTGTTTCTATAACCTTAGAAACCTTTTCCAGATCCTCCCTGGAAGTCCCTGCTGCCTCCTTCTGAGGTCATTAATATGACACAGAAAATGTCACTTTAACTGTTATAGGTCCCTTGGTTCCCACTGTCTGCCCCAGCAGGGCTTGGATGACCCGCACAGGCCCCCCTTGTCCACCCCGTTATGGATCTAAAACTTCCACTACCACAATCACTTTCTTCTTCTGCTGATTCTACAACTGCTCCCTGCCTTTTTTCCCCTTGTGCCCCTCCTTCCCGATTCAGTTTCCTCTTACATTAATAAATCCACATCCTCCTCTTCGCCTGTCTGTCTGTATTTAATACAATGTTTACTTATATTACAGGCAGAATAACATCTGAGTTGTTTCTTATCCTCCTTTTTAATGCTCACACCATCAGATCTTTCAGTGCATGCTTTCTGCAAATCAGGATTGTTCCATAAATAAAAAATAAATAAATATTTGGCACTTCATTCCATTTTCCTTCCCGTCTACAAAACAGCATCAGTTGCAAAATGGTATTATAATTTACAGTCCCATTAAGAGGCCACTTTTCCCAATCATCAAGCTTATACATTGTCCACCAATGATTACAATATTCAACAAACTGTTTTCATATCAAGGGGTTGCCCCCAAGCCTTTTCCAGCTCCTTAGGCCACAAGCCAAAGGAAGCTTTTCAGAATTTCTTCTCCCAAGAATTGTGAAGATTGCCCCACTCCCACATTTAACACCTTAAAATATTTTAAAACCTTTTAAAATCTGCTCCCAAAACTGAGATTGCACTCCGGGGCATCCCCATAGTAGCACACAACCTTACCCAAGCCATCAACCAGTTACATAAATCTCTCAGCCTCACACTGTGTCCTTTCTATCAGTATGACTTATGTGCAGGTAGAATACTATAAAACAAAATACCTTAAGAAATGTTATATTCTTCTTCCAAGAAAGGAAGGTGCTGTGTACTCCTCAGACTAGGGAATCAGATGATCTCCCTGAATATATTTTGTTCTGGGCTGGACTGCCAACTGGTCCACCGAGTTGCAGATGGGACTCCATCTGAAGTGCCAAAAAGTGTCACCAAAAACCAGGAAATAAACTCTCTAACCAGTTTGTTAGGTTAGAAGCTGACATTATTGCAGTTCTGAATGTATGGGGGATCTCTCCACCCAAGGTGTGCACTCAGCAGTCTAACAAACCAGGTTATGTTCATGAAACTAATACATATTCATTACATACTCACTACATTTCTGGAATACATACCTTTATGCTAAATACTTCCATGGATTTATTTGGATATAAGTAGGGGTCTCCTGAGGGTCTCTGGTGGTCATTTGGGGAACATCTCAATGCTGAACTGCAGGAGGTCTCTGTAAGCCCAGGTCTCTTGGGATGACAGCAAGACCCCCTGGCGTAAGCAGCACTTATCATGGTTTGGTGTCATCTGCCAACTTGCTGAGAGGTCCCTCTGCCCCAGCCTGACCTCAGTGCCCAGCAAGATTATGAAGCAGGTCATCTTGAGTGTGATCACACGGCACACACAGGACAACCAAGCAAATAGACTCAGTCGGTATGGGTCTAAGAAAGGCAGGTCCTGCCTGACCAACCTGATCTCCTTTTATGACCAGGTGACCTCCACTTAGTGGAGGAGGGAAAGGCTGTGGATGTGTCTACCTGGACTTCAGCAAAACCTTTGATGCTGTCTCCCATGGCACACTCCTGGAAAAGTTGTAGCCCACGGCTTGGACAGGTGCACTTTCTGCTGGGTTAAGAACTGGCTGATGGCCAGGCCCAGAGAGGGGTGGGTAATGCTGCTGGCTACAGTGGGCAGCCGGTCACTAGTGGTGTCCCCAGGGATCAGTGTTGGGCCCAGTCCTGTTTAATATCTTTACTGATGATCTGAATGAGGGCATCAGGTGCATCCTCAGTAAGTTCACAGATGACACCAAGCTGGGTGGGACTGTTGATCTGCTGGAGGGCAGGAAGGCTCTGCAGAGAGATCTGGACAGGCTGGATAGATGGGTCAAGGTCAACAGCATGGGGTTCAAGGCCAAGCGCTGGGTCCTGCCCTTGGGTCACAACAACCCCATGCAGTGCTACAGACTGGGGAAAGAGTGGCTGGAAAGTGGCCCAGCAGAAAAGGCCTGGGGTGCTGGTTTGACAGCAGCTGAACATGGGCCCCTAACTGCAAGAAGGACATAGAAGTTCTGGAGCACGTCTGAAGAAGAGAATGGAGCTGGGGAAGGGTCTAGAAGGTAAGTCCTATGAGGAGTGTCTGATGGAGCTGGGGTTGTTTAGCCTGGAGAAGAGGAGGCTTAGGGGTGACCTTATCACTCCCTACAACTACCTGAAAGGACATTGTAGCCTGGTGAGGATTCGCCTCTTCTCCCAGGTAACAAGTGACAGGAAGAGAGGACATAGTCTCAAGCTGTGCCAGGGGAGATTTCAGTTGGACATAAGGAGGAATTTCTTCACATAAAGGGTAATTAAGCAATGGAATGGACTGCCCAGGAAGGTGGTGGAGTCACTGCCCCTGGAGGTGTTTAAGAAAAGACAGAAGCTTTAGGCATGAAAATAGTTAGCAGGTGAAATGCTACAAATGACCCTGTGAACTCTGCAAAGTGAACTGGTGCTGAGAAATGAAGCTTTGGTACTTGACGAGAGGACTTTGGGCACTCCAGCGGAAGCTTTAAGCTGTAAAAGAGGGCTTTAGACCCTCTGAAAGAGGCTTTGGGTCTTCAAGCTGGGTCTGTGGGCCCCAAAAATGGGTCTTTGGAAATGAAAATGAGGGCCTGAACCTTGAAGTTGGGTTTTGTGCCCTCAAAGAATGCTTCCTTGCCCCAAACAAAGGCTTTGCCCCCTAAAAAGGGATCTTTGGGGACTTAAAAGCCTGGAAGAAGCTGGAAGGAGTGGAAATGAAACCTCTAGCACTCCGAGTGTGCCAGCCAAAGCTGTGACCAGGCTCACTTACAGCCCTCAACAGCCTTTGACTCATCTGGCTGCTGCAGCTCCTGAAAGAAGCAGGAGCTTTGCTGGCTGATGAATAGCCCTTCACCAGCAGTGCCTGGGGAGGTCCAGAGACTTCCAACTGCAAGAGGTGCCTGGATTGTGACAGCCATGGGGTTCTGTGGCCTCAAAGGTACATGTGGCCTCATGTCACAAATGTGCAGAGATGCAGCATCAGTCCAGTGATTGTGACCTCACCTGCCCAATGCTTATTATCCTGAGGAGTGGGCCAGCAAAAGCTAGTTGGGCTGAGCTGGCCTTCGGGACATCTCAGCTCCTTCCACTGATGCTTGTATGCCTGCCTTTTTCCAAGCATTTTTCATCATTGGCAGCAGCTACAAGCCTCACCAAAACGCTTTTGACAGCTCAAGGTGCTTTATGGGTCACATTTGGGGTTTCTAAATAATTTTATTGAGCTACAATCATTTCCTTTCCCTTCAGGTGATTGGATTGGTGCTGATCTGATATTTCTGAAGGAGATTTTTCTGGAACTCCGTCATCCAAAACTTTCCCCTCTATTCCTGAGAGGGGTGATGGGGAACAATTCTTCTGAGTCTTGACCTGAAAATTCAAGACTCTAGAGGGAAAAGAAGGTAACCTGAGTTCCAGAAATCAAAGTGTGTTTGTTGGACTGTTGGCAGAGCACACAGAGAAACCGACTGTTTTCCAAAACCGTTTCCCTACCAGTAGATATCAACAGGTTGTTAGGCTTCGCCCAATGTTTCTGGCTTGGCCATAGAGCTGTTGTCCTCTGTGCTCCTGTAGAGAACTCAATATTTGAATACGCTTTCGAGCAACAATATTGTCTCACCTCTTTTCAAATGTCATTTCCCCGCAGTCATTGCCAAGGGAATGGCTCTGCCACAAAGGATCCTCTTTCCCCCAGAGAAGATATGCATGGACTGGCACCAAAGACAGAGACCTGGAGCGGGACTCCTCAACCTGGGCAATACTTGCTACATCAATGTCATCCTGCAGTGCCTGACATACACACCCCCTCTGGCCAACTACCTGCTCTCGCATGAGCACAGCCAGTCATGTGAGTACTTTTAGGAATATCTTCTTGCAAATATCTTGGGCAAATCCCAAGGATTGCCAGAACCTGGAATCAGATTTAGGAGAACAGCAGAGAACTTTAGGAGAACTTTGTCAGCCCCAAGAAGCTGCTTGTCCTATCAAGTTGCGTTCATCGTCAGAAAAACAGCTCTTTCTAGCCCTGGGTCTCTATCCCTGCAAGTTAAACCCCCTTAACTTATTGCACAGAAAACTCTGCTGAAGCATTAAATCCCTCTGAAGCACTAAAATGTCCTGGGCTTGTCGGGACTTTGGCAGCTTGGGAGTAGAGAAGTGAAGACTGTTCTTAGAATTTCAAGATCTCCAGTAGGTTTCCCATCATTGGGGATGTTTTCCTAACCTGGGAAGCTTCCCTCCCTCTCTCCCTCCCTCCGTCTTTCCCCCTCTCTTTACCTCTTCAGGTCAACAGCAAGGCTTCTGCATGATGTGCGTCATGGAAGTGCACATTAGGAAGGTCCTGTATTCCTCAGCCAGTGCCATCCTGCCTGGGGTTGTCCTCAGGGACCTCAAATGTAAGTTGTTTCAGGTGCTTCAACAGGTTTTCTTCTTTTTGTTCCCTTTAGGGGAGAGCTACTAACTTCTTCTTTCTTAGTCATAGGAGAAGAATTTGAGTATGGCAGGCAGGAAAACGCCTACGAGTTCTTACGCTGCGCTCTCAATGCCATGCAGAGAGCTTGTCTGAGTGGCAGCAGCGAGTAAGCACAAGCAACTTACCTTTTCAATGTTCACGAACCTGTTGGACTCCTTGATGTGCTCCCATCAAGGAAAACTGATGTCCAGGGCCTTCAGCTTGGACTCTTGGAGGAGGTAACTCTCTTCCTTGCCATTTATTTTTATTTCCAGCTCGGACATCTCTTCACAAGAAACTACCATCGTCCATCAAATATTTGGGGGCTTTATGAGATCCAGAGGTATGTTTCCGCAATTATTCCTTTCACATTGTCCGTGCCCTTCTGTCTGCCTGTGACAAATAGCTGGTCCTGGGATTGGCATAGTAGGTAACCTAAGCATACGCTGGCACAGTCAACTAACCCAGCATTTTGATTTTCTTTCCAGTCACATGCTTGAGCTGCCAAGCAGTTACTGATTCCTACAAGGCCTTCCTGGATGTCTCTTTGGATATCAGAGTAAGAGGGTCCACAATTGTGCTACAGGTGCCCCAAGGCCCCTGTAGCTTTCCAGAATCAAAGTATTTGTCTTAAAAACCTACACTGCAAGCACAAGGGAGCTTGGTGGTGAGTGGGAAGGGGAATGCATGCGTTCCTGCAGAGGCCATGACACTGGTGTCCCCATGGTGCTGGCTTTAGGCCGAACAAGCAGCATTATCCCCTCTGCACCCTTGACATACTCTCCTCCTCCTTCCCTTTGCCCTCTCTCAACACCCTTCTGGCTCCCAGGCTGATGGGGTTGGATTGTTTTCCCTACCGATGCCCCTGCATGACATCAGTAGCTGAACTGAGTGGTGGCACAGAGAGGGAGTTCTTGATGGCTCTGGGAGCCCCTGGAACATGAGGGAAATATTCGGCATCACACCCTCTTCCTTTGCCTCCTCCCAGACAATGCCTGCAGGTTTACAATGGGTATCCTCAGAGTCAGCTGCCTGGGTCTTCTTGTCAGCTCCTGGGAAGTGTTTGGGTGAGAGCATTTCCCAAAGCTCAGCGGCTCCTTTCTCACTCTTCCAGGCAGCCTCGTCCCTCACCACAGTTCTGGAGGACTGTGTGACACCCAAGGAGCTGGATCTGAAAGAATGTTTCAAATGTAGCAAGTAAGATGATTCCTGATGACATAATAACACCAGATCCTGCATGAGGGGAGGCTGAATGTCATCGAACAGAAATCATCTCATGGAGGTTTAATGCACAACAGTGAGACACAGCTTTTTTAATGTGGCTCGGAATAGCCTTAAAATAGCATAAGGATGAGCGAGACAGAAAAGGTTGTCTGGCCTTCTTGGGGGAAGATCAGGTGCATTTCAGCACTCGGCTCTGTGCTTGGTTTCAAGGTGTAAGAAGAAGGTTGCTGCCTCCAAGAGGGTCACAATCCATCAAGCACCCAGAGTCCTCACATTATGTCTGGAAAGGGCTGACCAATGGACTGGCAAGAAGATCAGCAAGGTGTGTACACAGCTGAAGTCCAACTTTCTCTTCCTGGAGCAGAAGATTCCCCAAAGCAGTACACCCTGTCACAAGCTGCTCTTGTTGAGTTTTTTGTGTTCCCTTCTGGGGAGAGAATTCCTGTGGGAAGACCAGCCCGGACTCTGCTCTGACAGAGATGTTTTGGCTGAGAACAGTTTCCTGCCACCTAAATCATTACATATTGAAGGCTATTTCGTGTGGTAGCTCAGGATCATTTCTGAGCCCTCTTGGTCTCTCTGTAGTTTGTGGACTATCCTGAGTACTTGGATCTTCGGCCATACATGTCTGACACAGCTGGAGAACCCCTCCTCTGCTCCTTATATGCCATCGTGGTGCACAGTGGTGACACCTGTCTTGAAGGACACTTTTTCTGCTACACGAAGGTAAACACATTCCTCCTGACAAGGAAAAATTTGTGCTGGGGAAGACAAACTTTCCAAGCGGTGTTACTGGCAGCCAGGGTTTTGGGGGAGAAGGTCTCCTTTGGGAGTGGATTGGATTTGTTTTAGTGTACTCTTGGTTCTGCAGTTTTCTGCCTGTGGTGTTGTGGAAAAACCCTGGAGTTCCTCTCCAGATGTATACCTTTCTTTGCAGGCCAGCAATGGACTGTGGTACAAGATGGACGATGAGTCTGTGGATAGTTGTGACATCCACACAGTTCTGGGGCAGCAAGCATATTTGCTGTTCTATGCCAGGTAATAACCAGTGTCACACGTGTTCAGAATATGTTTCCTTTTCTTGGCTTTGCTGTTTGTCTTCTCATCCTCCTGGGTGCTTCTGTAATAGGAGATAACTTCTCCTTGCATTCTTCAGTGCTGTGAATTTTGAACTATCCCACACCAGTCCTTCTCTTCCCTTGCTTCACCTTCAGGCTTTAGGGTGCGGCCCTGTGTATTCTGCCACTTGTCTGCTCTCTGAAGCTGGCTCATGTAGAGAAGAACACTTAAAGGGGGCCTCTAGGAAAGATGAGTAGAGACTCTTTATCAAAGGAGACTAGTAATGGGATGAGGGGTAATGATTCTAAAGCAAAGAGGAAAGATTTAGATTACATACTAGGAAGAAATTTTTACCTGTGAGAGTGATGAGGGTCTGGCACAGGTTGCCCAGAGAAGCGGTGGCTACCCCATTCCTGGAAGTGTTCAAGGCCAGGTTGGACAGAGCTTGGAGCAACCTGGTCTAGTGGAAGGTATTCTTGCCCATGGCAGTGGAAGGTGCCCTTGCCCATGTTGGAACTAGTTGATCTTTAATGTTCCTTCCAACCAAATTCTAGGATTCTAGGATTCTGTGAATTGGAGGTCATAGCGGGTATAAAGACAAGGAGTTGCTCTGACAGGGGCAACTGACCTGGTGGGAAGACCCCAGTTAAATTCCCATTGGTGACCTTGGTGAATTCTTCCCTCTGTTGCTCCAACAAAATAACTAAATCCCAGAGGAGTCTCCAAGGAATGCCCTAAACAGAGATCACTCTTTTTCCCTCCAGGTGCTCCAATTTGAAAATGGGAGAAATGGCGGCTTCCTCACCAGCACCATCATATGTCCATTCCATCCTCAGTCAGACGGGGGGCAGCAGTGAGCAGGCAGGTTCTGCAGGACCACAGGCTCTGCCTGGTAGGATTAAGGTGACACACAGCCAGAGGAACAGTGCCAGGGAGAGGGCCCGGAGCAGATCCCCGCAGTGGGGCAATGATCTCTGCTTCATGAACAGCACTGACTACGACAACTCAACAGGGAGGAGGAGGAAGAGAACTAGTTCTTTAGGCTGTAACCACGCTCCCAGGGATAACACAGCTCCAGGGCTCTCCGACTGGATCTGCCAGCGGACACCTGCACCCAGTGCTGCTTGGGTGCAAACCCTGCCAATACGGAGATCCTCATGGCGAGGCTATGATATCTGGAGCCAGGTTGTGGAGATCACAAACTCTCATCAATCAGTGAGGAGGTTTGAGCATCGCAGAGATGCATGTCAGACAAACACAGTATGATGAGGCCAGACTGTCAGCCTGGATGAGGGAGCAGCACAGCATCTGAAATGAACAAAACTGACACTCAACTGGAATGAACAGGCAGAAAAGCCAAAGCCAGAATTAAACCCCCTTACTGGCCTGTGGAGGACCAGGCCTAAGCATGTTTTGTCTCAAACATTCTGTTACAACAGGAAAGGTAACTGGAGAAGAGGGTCCTGCAGAGCAGGGGTAGCATGTTCTGAGCCAACTTCCTGCTCCACCTTGAGACTTGTGCTGCCCCATCCCCAGCTAACTTGCAGGAGGAGGGCTAAAAGGGCTGGCTGTGCATGTGGAACAAAACAGCACAAAAAATCTAGTTTACATAGGAAGCTGCACCAGGTTAACTAGGAAAGAACTGGATTGGGCTCCCCTGGTTCTCTTTTTTCTCTCTTTCTCTTTTGCTTTCTTTGTCTGGCAACCTCAGCTTCAGACCCATGTGGCAGGACCAATGTGGGATCTACGGACTGCTGATATTCTTTGTTCTCTCCCTTTTCTATCTTTATTTCTCTCCTCTCTTGCTTTGCCTGGGCAAAGCACGGCTATGATATTCTAGCCTGTACTCCATATTGAAGTTTGTTTTGGGAGTGGGGAGCTTGTGGAAGCATGTCGTGGCTTGTGAGCCAGCACCTTTGAGGAGCTGCTTGTGGGAGCTGAGAACTTACTGAAGTGTACTGTACCAAATCTAAGGGCTTGTTTGGCCCCGCTGTTGTAGAAGTGTATTGCAATAATTTAAGGGCTTTTTAGCCAACACCTTTTTAATCTAAATATTGGGCTGGTTCCTGGAGTTACGGTGGCTGTACAATAAAACATAAAGAGTTCCCTGGCATGTAGCCCAGTGTCTTTGTTCAGCCTGACGAGAATTCACAATGAACATCATGCCTCTGACCACACAGGTTATGACATGGCCTTGCATGAATAATCCTTCTTTTTAGGTTTTGGGGCAATTGGTGGAAATACCCACTGTGGGATGTTGCGCATGATGGGATTTTGAAAGCTGTGTGCTTGCATGTGCCCATCTGGCAATCTCTTATTTTTAAATATGGAGTTCAAGTCACTCAAAGGGACATGGGTTGGATGAGTCAACAGTGACCAAAAAGGGCTGGATGGCTGGACTCCAAGGGTTCTGCTCAGCAGCACCAAGCCTAGTCTGGAGCCAGGAACAAGCAGTGTGTCCCAGGGGTCAGGGACTGATCCTATTTAATGCTTTCTTAACTAATGGTCTGGATGCTGGGGCAGAGACAACACTCAGCAAGTTGGCAGATGACACCAAAGCGGGAGCGGTACTTAGGCCACGAGTCTTGTGCTGCCACAGCGGAGATAAGGCAGATTGTCAACCTGGACCATAAAAAGGAGACTTTCAAGGCTAGAAGCAAGGCTTAGGGCTCTAATGACAATGCTTTGGTCCCTAAAAGAGGGCTTTGGACTATCCAGATGGGGGTCTGGACACTCAATGTGTGGCTTGGACCCTAAAAATGACCGTATGGGCCCTAAAAGTGCTGCTCTGGAGCTGGTTGTGTCTGACACGGCTGATTTTGTACAAGTCTTAATTGTCACCGGTGATTGTTTGAGGATGTCTCTACACATTTTCTGGTTAAGGGCTGTGGGAAAATGACCGGGAGTAAAAACATAATGGTACAGAAATTATAGGGGAAAATATGTTGCTGCTCCCTGGATGGAATGCAGCCAGCATACCCGACCTCCCACACACAATATAGTCTAAGGGGGACTAAATGACCCCTTCGAAGGGGTGGAGTTGAGTGGAGATCTGTGGAAACCTTTGCAGGGGAGGGAACTAGGTGGTACTTTATAGCTGATCAGCTGCAGAGCAGCTGAAAACCAAGGGAGATGAAGATGTCCTGCTGTTGAATCAGCAACTGTGGCAAAATCCCTCTCCTTGGACTGATGGGTGTCCCTATTTCAAGGTTATCTCGGGTACTGCACTGAGATACCTGTCCCCAAGGTACAAACCGCCCTTCACTGAGTAACACGCATGACTAAAATCACTCAAGTTCCACCTAAGTGTAAAAAACCATCATAAAAGTGAGTTGAAAATGGGGAGAATTTAGCGAAAACTCATTTGTAACTTCTGGGATCAGTCAATGGGCTGAACCTGTCTCTCCCCCCAGAGGGGCCCATTCAGTAAAGGAACCACACTCTGTGCGCACTGAATGATTTTCTCTAGCCAGTTTTGTCAGGGATTAGAGGTCATCTGTATATTGCTTTGAATACATTTTTGCAGTCAGACAGTAAGTATCACCAGCAATCCTGGAACCTTAACCTGTCACAATTTTATTAATAAAGAGTGTTATTCCATGAACTGTTGGTGTGAGTCTTTCAAGGGTTTTGACAAACATTAAGGTTTGGGAATATCTTCCCTTTCCATGTGACAAGGGCCAGTCTCTACTTTGTGCTGCAAGACACAAAGTCTCTACTTTGTGCTGCAAGACCCTCCTGTCCAGTATGCCCCAGTTTACGGTGTAACCAGTTGCCCAATCAATACTAATGTTGAGGATCTTCCGACTGATCAATTTTTATCTTCTTAATTTTTGTCATCTGATCCACCTTCTTGCTCCAATAAGTCTGTAAGACTTGATCATTGCCATGAGCTTTGACCCATCCTATGTGGATTGGTTGGGATTGAGCCTGTAACAATAACCACTATCCAATCTTCTTTCTGCCAAACCTCCTTTCCATTTACTTGTCAAACTAATGCTTCCCATTGACACAATCGCTGTGTGGCACCAGCCCAGATCGTGTAAGAATCAACATATATTGTCTTTGTTTTCTCTTCTGCTGCCAGCAATTCAGCTTTTAACTCTCCCACCTGTGCACTTCCCATTCCTTCTTCTACTACTTCCATTCCTGTCTGAATGTTAAGAGCACCTGCTCTGTACTTCCATTTACCATCTCTGTGTTTGGCTGAGGTATCAGTAAAACACATCTTTAACTTCAGAGTCTGATGTAAATGGGGAGCATCAAGTACAGGAGTAAGCTTACATGACTGTTTCAAAGCCAGCATATCTGGGGTCTCAGCTACCTGCAATTTGGTAGGTTCTCCCAGCCCTTCAGTCATATCCATCCAATCCATGACTCCTGAGACATATGCACACTATCTGTGTACTGTTGGCTTTTGTGCAATCCCGTCTGGTGGAGCACTGCCCTTCTTAACACTGGCTAACAGGTTAAACGGGCCTTGGATTTGCACAGATTGTTACTGTTGAATTTTTTCTACTTCTTTAATTGTTTGGGTCAGAGATAATAGTACCTTTTCCCAGTCCATGTATCTTTTTTCTGTATCTTTTAATGCTGTGGAACTGAACCCTAATGGTCACTTGGGTCCATGAGGGCCTTCCTGGAACATATTACAGTAAGTCCCAAGTTCAGCAAAACCCCATTCAACTATTATAGGATCATTGGGGTAAACTGGCCCAAGTGATTCATATATTTTTAACTCTTCTATTAGCATGTGCAAAGCCTGCTCATGACTATCAAGCCATTCCCAGGTCTTTTTTTCCTCAGAATGCATACAACAGTTTTGCTATTATAGAAAATCCAGGAACAGACAGGAGAATTGCATGGGGAGTGTGCCCTAAATACGTCTGCACTCTAAATCCCTAACTGTCGCTGATAATGTCGGAACGGCCAAAGCGACACAGATATCAGACGTAGTCCAGGTGTAAGGTGAACAGGAAGCTGTTTATTGCTCTCAAGTGTTTCTTTTATACTCTTTGTATGCTATCGTGCCACAATACAATTGGTCAAAAGTCTCAAGCATAAAAAACTGTAGACACTGCACACACTCTTATTGGTGACACCGAAGACACTGTCCATGCTATGACATGCTATTGGTGACACTATACACATTTTGATTGGTGACCTTTGGTCTGGGCTGCATTACGTTTGTTCCGTCCGGCATTACAGTAAATATTTCCTAAAAGTTGTTTACATTCCTCGTCACTAATTGCCAGGCTGCTGACAGGTCCTCTGTCAACCCCGACACCTAATTACTTAATTTATCCTTTCTCTGGCTGCAGGGGAAATGGGAAGCTTTGATATTAGTCACAATAGAAATGAGTAAGACTGGAGCAATTTTTAATGCAGTAATTTTCATATTCTCTCCAGAAAATTTACTATTTGGAGTTTTTGCAGGCCTGAATGACCAAATATTCTCATTGAACAATTGACAAACTTTTCCTTTAAAGATACTGTATCCTAAAATATTTTCTTAATGGTCTGCAACTGCAAAGGTACATGAAGTCATTCTTTTTCCCTAAGTAACCATAAACAGACAGGAGGATTGGGGATTTTTAATAATGCCACTTCTAATCTTTCTTCCAAGGCTTCTGCCTTTCCCTCGGATTCTTTAAATTGTGGTTCTAATAAATCATTCTATACCTGAGAACTGAGCTTCAGAAATGAAAAGGAGGGTTTGAATCCTGAAGTTAGGTTTTGTGCCCTCAAAGGATGCTTCATTACCACAAATAAGGGCTTTGCCCCTAAAAAGGGGTTTTTAGAGGTTTAAAATAAGATTTGAGCCCACCAAATTTCAGGTTGAATCCTAAAGAGAAGGTTTTGGACCCTGACAGGGGTGTTTTGGAAGCCCTGGACCAAACCTGTGCAGTTTGGGTGTGTCCTGGACTGCAGGGTTTCAGGGTGTCCTGCCCCTGACCCACAGGCTCCAGAGCTTCCTCTGTTGGGTTCTGAACTCCCTCTTCACAGTGTAGTAGAATAACTCCTCCATTTTTGTGTGTCCAGCCAAAAAAGCCTCCAAAACATCATTTTTTTGTCCCCCAAGTGTTGACTTTTTAAAATTTTTCCAACATGACAATGGATTTTAAACCTTGTTATTCAGCTTTTTGATCACTAACCACCCCCTTTTCCAGACTTTTACCACCAGACCAAAGATTTGTGCCTCATTTGGTATCATTTGGACCAAATCCAAGATGAAACTCTGGTGCTGAAGCACAGGAGTCGCCCTGACCCGGACCTGGCCTGAGCTGTGCTGCTCCACTCAGAAATTTAGGGTGGAGCTTTGAACCTCTCACTGGCGACCCAGGTCAGAGCAGTGTTGTGAGATCTTGCCCCAAAATACG